AGCACTCTTCTGGTGCTGCAAATGAGGATTGTGGCTCTCCTACAGTGCAGGGATCATGTTGTGTAGTCACCCCTTCCTTTGCCCTCATCCATTCACAAAGCCTTTTATTCACAGCAGTTGTTTAGTTAAATTCCGAGTGTTAAGTGTCTGCAATGGCTGCGTTATATAACACATGATATATTGGGGTCTATTTTATGCTCTAGATCCACCTTATATTTATGGATATAAGCCAATAAAGCGGAAGAACCTGTACAAGATACTAAGGAGGCCTGTTTAATCCAACGCTTCCCAGACATACCGGTCCAGCAGAAGTTATACCCAGCCAATCAATACTCAATAAAACATAAAATAAGCAAACGAGAGGCTATGTTTTATTGAACCAGTTATTACTATGTGAATATTAAATGAGCTGTAATAACTTCTATCCATACAGAATACCCGGAATAACCAAGGTAATGGCAAACAGGTCTTCACCACTTGAAGTCCGCGGTGTTAAACCCCCTTCCCATTGCGGCCATTTTTCAGTCTTGGACCACAACACCACGTGATCCCTATGAAATGGTGTCTTACAGGATAAGGCCTCCAGTTCAGATACTGGTCTCATAGTGGTAAATGGCTTTCGGGTGAAAGTAGAGGAATGTTTCCAATGGGTTCACATGGTGATCTTTGAAGAAGTGCAGGGAGAACCAGATTATTATTATTATACAGGATTTATATAATGCCAACAGTTTGCGCAGCGCTTTACAATATAAAGGAAGACATTACAATCACAATACAATTCAAGACACAATGGTAAGGAGGGCCCTTACAATCTAAAAGGGAGGGGCCAGTGATACATGAGGAGGTAGCTGCGTGGGGATGAATTGTCTGAGAACGTGATGGTTGAGGTGGGATAGGCTTCCCTGAAGAGATACGTCTTAAGGGATCGCCTAAAGGCAGTCAGAGTGGGAGACACGGACAGGTTGGGGTAAAGAGTTCCAAAGGATGGAAGAGACTCTAGTGAAGTCCTGGAGGCAAGCATGGGAGTTGACAAGGGAGCTGGAAAGCAGAAGGTATTTTGAATAGCGGAGGGGACGGTTAGGGTGATACTTTTAGACAAGGTTGGAGATATAGCCGGGGGCAGAGTTGTGGATGGCTTTGTAAGTTGTTAGTATTCAGAATTTTATCCTTCGGGCTATTGGAAGCCAGGGAACATAAATCCCCCCTCCCCCATGTAGAATTCAGTTCCACTTTAAGGCTGCACTCCAGGCACACATTAATGCAGCACTGTTGTAATACATCCTAACTGTATATTTTAAATGTGAGCAGTGTATTTACTTGAATTTAACTTGGTATCAGCCTGTTGTAGACCCTGTACAGCAGAGCTCAGACTAGATGAGGGAGAAGCAGCATAAGGAGCCAATCAGTTCAAAAAGCATGCTTATAAGAGGAGATAGCACAGTGGCAAAGATGAGATCAGCAATCTGCTGATCTGCCTTTTCACGGTTCAGTTGCCGAGTAGGGAAGACCTGTAAGTGTTACTAACTGCAGCATGGAATAATCATGTCTCCCATCCTCTCAGACAGGGCTGTATGGGGTGGCAGAGCAGAGTTAATCTCAGAACTGGGAGGACAGTGGTAGGTAAAACAGCTTCCTTTTCTGCATTATATATATATATATATATATATATATATATATATATGTGCATTTAGCGGTTTGCCTGCAATTCAGCTTTAAGAGTCAGGCCTACAGGAGGATCATCTTTGCTACTATTCTCCCTCATCCTAGCAATGCCGCCTCCTCTGTACTAATGAGACTTTCTGTTCCTTCTCATAATGGAATGTCAGTGAGGAGTGAAGGAGGTGGCTTTGCTGTGATAAGGGATGTGAAGAGGAAGACTGCTATAGAACAGAGGTGTATGTGGCTCTTAAAATGGCCGTATTGAAGCCAAATCTTCTTTTGACCTTACTGCTATGTTGGGTCAGAGGAGGACAATTGCTAATATACTCCCGTGACCCAAAGTCAGCATATAGCTGTTACTACAGGATACATGTGGCAGCCTGATTGACAGCTAGCTCTGCCTCTCTAGAGTCAAAGCCAGCTGTGCCCGCCCCCTCATCTGTCTGTCCCTCCGATGAGTGCTGGAGGAACAGAGAGGAGAATCCCTGTGGGGAGCGGTGACTGTCCCTGCAGGGTGAAGACCGTGAGCTGAGCGATCAGTGGTCACATGATCACTCTGCTCTTAATAAAAGCTGTTGTGTGACACAGTATATGGCTCCAAGTTTTGGGAAGGGTGTATTTTACTCTCCCAATGAGTACAAATGTCCAAGGACCTGTAGCACACCTTACCGGACTTCCCATGTGGAAAAATGGGTGCTCGCAATGACTACGGATGGCGCCGTATCAGGTAAAATGTTGTATAGAAGCGCTTTCGGGGCCGCGCAGGGTCCCCTTCATCAGGCTTAAAGTTCACTTTAAGCCTGATGAAGGGGACCCTGCGCGGCCCCGAAAGCGCTTGTTTCAACTTTAAGTGACTTCGAAAATAAAAATGAAGATTCACTAAAATCTTGACGTATTCTGTCATATTTGGAGTGCTGATGACATCTATACAACATTTTACTCTCCCAATACTTCCCCTTTAAAAATGGAAGATACAAATTCATACTTCTGATACATCGGCCTTCCCCGGGAGTTCAAATCAGACAAGAAAACGACGACCAATGGTCTAAATATGCAAATGTAAAATTGTCCAAAACAATAACCAGGAATGACGGGGAAAGTTTTAAAAGTAGTTTTATTTAATAAATAACTTCAGTTAACAGTTTTGTAAAAAGTGAACACCTGCTAAAATAAAAAGGCACTTAAACAAGATTGTGACAAACATGAAACACAGGCAAAGCAAATGGTCCGAGGCTAAAATACAATGAAAACATATGGCACGCAATGCAGATCTGTGACGAGGCTGCATAACGGTCACAGTGGAAGTTACCCAAGGGGACAATTCTGTACATTTTATGGCTTTGGGTGAAATTCGGATGAAACGCAGAGACGCAGTAAATGATTAGAGACAAGGAAGCACTTGATTTCATAACACACATACTGGGACATGATTTAAGGCCTTTAGACAAATAATGCACTGGGAGATTTTTTTTGGCTGGGTATTATACCGTACGTACACACACCGATGTAGCGACTGCAGGAACCATCGTGCATGGACCAACCTTGGACTCATGGATTAAAAGTTAATAAAAATGATTACCAGCAGCCAGATTCTCTCTAAAGATGGACATACACTATGCCAGTTCTTTATCCAAAATTCGCACAGTGGGTACTGCTGTCGGCACCCTTTCGGCCGGCATCCATCGATCAGCTGATTAAAAGGAGCCAGTCATAAAATGTTCAAATGAAAAGAGCCGGTAGCCAATGAGCAGCCGGCTCTGTGCGGGTAATCTGACAGGTGATTCCTCGATCAGCGATCGTTAGTGTTGTTGGAAGAATCTGTAACATTTTCTTCGTTCAGCTCGCGGGTTAAAAGGAAGAAAATATTACAGTGTATGGCCAGCTTCATTTCAGAGGGAACATGAGTCATCATCTAACTGGTTGTAAATGACAAAACGTTATTCCTTTCATGTGATAGAGGCAATCAATCGTCATTATAACGAATGTACGCCAATGGAAACATGAAAAGTACACACTTCACAAACCGGGCATGAAGGCCACATGACGGACATTTCAGTCCTAAATTGAAGCACCGTGCACACTCCTGACCACACAAATATGTGCATAGCTTTACATACAAGTCTACTTTAAAGTAGAACTGAAGCCAAAATCTTTTCTTAGTGTTGGATAGATACTAGTGTTCTAATTGTTAGAATTTATCAATTCCTGTTCTGATGACAACCCAAAATTCGGGATTTCTTTCACCAGGACAAACGGCGAGAATGAATGCCCAGAGCTACGACACAGCCAGCCATAAAAAGCTGAAAGGTCTTCCAATCCCTCTCCAGTCCATCCAAAACAAAAAGGTTTTGGCTTTAGTTGCACTTTAAATTACACTAACCCATCCCACCCCAGACCTGCCAACTGCTAGATTATAACGCCCCCCAGCTTCTCAATTAGCTAGAGCATTGCTCACATTGTGGCTTTGGTAATACCATCCACGTTTTATAACTCACCTTACAGGCATGGCCAGTGTTACGAATTATGACCGGACACCACTAATAAAGAAGCTACTTGGGACAGGTCTCAGATACCTCGCTAAATAAATCAGCTGGGGTGGGGGGGTCATTGTACAAAGTAGATCAGGGAGCCGAATGAGGGAGGTTAGCGTAGTCTAAGTACACTTGTCCCGTCGCATGCAATACATGCCGACTCGTTCCGACAATGCAATCTGCCCATCTTGCTGATCCCATGGCTTCAATATCGTGTCAGTGACCCTGCATATTTTATTTCTAGGGTCAGCAAGACAAGACAGGCATTAAGCACTTTCAAGAGAAGGGTCAGCATGTCATTTTGATGCAGCTATCAGGGCAACAGGGTTGAAACTGCAGTGCCACCCAAGTGTGGCGTCAGGCAGCAATTCCCTCAGAGCTGGAATTTACCATTTACAGAGGAACATTTATGGCATCCATTAGGCAGGAAATATTTCTCTCACTTACACTTCAATTCATCATCTATTATCTATATATCTAGCTTACAAACCCTAACCTACATTACACCATCCAAAACATGCTGAAGTCTGAGGTATGCATCGCATTATTATTGGCTAGTCTGTAAATTCCAACCCTCATTTTCCCTGTGAAGCAGAATTGTAATACTTGCATTGGCAAACCCTGTAATTACACCCCAAGAACAAAACACCCCCCCAAGAAAAAAGAAGAAGAAGAAGATCTGCTTGCACAGAGGTAGGAGGTCAAAAAGGCACAAAGTGACCTTCCATGACGGTGAACCTCTCTCTGGGATAATTAACAGTCCAATGGCACAAGTTACATTACCTTAAAAACCCGGCATGATTCATTCGGTTATTTTACATAAACTGTACATTGTGAAAATCTGAATGTCAAACACTGTAATGTTTCTGTAAATCGCGCAAGATTTACCCATCAGATATCGGTGGTGGGTACAGAACAAAAAGATTCTACTTTGCATACAGCCTGGCAGTCTGTACACAAATGTCATCACATTCATTTCCCCTCATATTTAGGATTCACCACTGTTGTCACTGCACTCTTGTAGATGGGGTTCTCACCCTGGAAAGAGAGGGAAAGGGGCAAGCATTAGGACCGGGCCTTACTAGAAATATATACAATATAAGCAATAAAACCTGAAATAGAAAAGGGAAGCAGATAAAATCACACCATTTCCATGGAAATACACAAAACAGACATTTATCAAAAACAAAGTTAAAAAGGAAGCTAAACACAAAACTTCACACAGTGCATCACCTCACCTCACCGTGACTGCAAAACATAAGCAAACACAAAGCACTGGCAGAGCTGTTAGAGCCAAACTCCTAAGTGATCCCGATTATAAAAAGGTGCAATACATCTCTGGGCAGTCTAAAGAGGTAAGATGGTCATACACTAATAAAAAGCTAACTTCCCCCATCATGGCCCTTTACCTAAAGTGACACTAAACTCCGGAGTTAAATCTTAAAAATACATTCACGTACATAACTATTAACAAAAATGTATCTTATTTGTGTATCAGGCTGTAGATCCTCAAATCATCTCTGAATTGGCGCAGACACTGCCCTTCCTTCTGGAGGGTGGCTACATTTGTTCCCCATGGTCCCTGTGTGTGTTGTAAAGTAGTCACCGCTCCAAGCTCACTCCCGGGATGGACTACAATCTCATGTTTAGTTTACTCATTTGTATTGAGATTGTAGCCCATTACGGGAGTGAGCTTGGAGGACAGTGTTGTTCATAGTTGAAAGAGAACTATGGGGTAAGTTTTTCTCCCCATAGTTCTCCTCAGGGTCACGGGAGGACATATACTAGGCTTGTCCCATGACCCAAAGCTCAGTATATAGCAGCCTATTGCCTGCGATATACTGAGACCGACGGATCCCGACAATACTGTCGAGATCCGCCCTGCTGCATGAGTGACAGCTGGCTCTGCGTATCTAAAGGCAGAGCCAGCTGTACCCGCCCCATCCGTTCCTCCAGTCAGCGCTGGAGGATCGGATAGGGGGGAATCCCTGCAGGGAGCCGATCGGGAAGTGAGCAAATCGGCTGCATGTTTCTGCTCACTTCCCGATCTATAGAGCCGACTTGTGACAGCTCCCTTGTCACAGGTCGGCTCTAACTATGAGAATGAGTGAAAATCACTCACCTCATAGCTCTCCTTTAAAAAGGTAACCCGAGTTTAGTGTCACTTTAAGGTGTAGGAAACATGCTGGGCCTTGACGAGACAAAAGCCCCTACTGGGCTTTTGTATTCCAACAGCAATGGGTGTGTCAATGTCACATGACCAAAAAGTAACCGGTGGAAGAGCCCCGGGCAGCATTGAGCCTGTGTGACTCTAGTGATTCTGTTGCTGGGGACAACTTACCCGTGTCAGAATCACTAAACCCCTTCTGTCATATCACCAACTCACTTCTAAACCCAGCAAGCCGTTGTTCCATCTCTGCTCTTCGAGCAATCTTAGTTCTTTAATGCAATGAGAGAGCAACTTTCCATTAGAAAAAGTGGCGGCAACATTTCAATGATCCTGACTGACACTGTTGAGATGTTATCAGGGGCCGAATCACCAGTGTGCGATATGGTTTATCCCCCAACCCCCGTCATTGTCACTTTTATTGGGCCGCTGGACCTGCACGTACGCGTGCAGAAATAATTTAAAAAAATTATATATTTATTTATTAAAACAAAAAACATTTGGATAAACACATCTTTCCCCGCCACATTGCTATTTAGTCGCACTTAAACACCCGTGTCAGATAACTGCATCCAGGGAATCGTCACACTGCATCACCCAGCCAACAATGAGAGTTAGAGGCGAGACAAGGAACATGCATGAAAAGCAGCAGAAAGTGGAAAGAAAAGGGAAATACAAACTGAGAATCAGAGAGCGGCTTTGCGTCCATAGTTTGGGTTCTTGAAATTATTAATAGGACTCTTGTAAATAGGATTCTCTTGCTGGAGAAAGGAATCCACAGAGAGAAAGGTTCACACATACAGTCTGATAGAAGTCTGGACAGTGACTGACAAGCAGTGAAATCTGAGGTACATCTAACAGGACAGATTTGTAGAAAGAAATCTCAGGCCTAACGCATCCAAAAAAGGTTTGCCGATACCAGAACCAAGTCAGTCCATCATCTATAAATTGGCGCTCCCCCTACACTGCTGTCCCCATGTATAAGAACAAACCAAATACAGAAGCTCAACACAAATCTTCTGAGAGGACAGAGATCGGGATCCCTCCAGTTATCAGCACTAGAGGAAGGATTAACCATCATCTACTTCCCATTTGCTATATCACATGGACATGTCAATCAATGGACAACTCCACCAAAAGTGCAGATTTGGGAGGGCGCTGGTGGGTTTAATTACCAACTGGGTTTCACATGGGCAACTTTGTAGCAGCAACCTAAATGTTGTCCTCAGCATTTTTATTGTTAGTAAATCTGCAGCTATTAATTGCTAATGATCTGCCAATGAAACCTGCCATAGCAACCCCAGAATTGCTGAATGATGGAAGCGTAATGCTACTTATATAGGAGCGACACATTATCTAATGCAGGGACTAGTGATCATAGCGTACCAGAGACTTCTAGTAGCCGGCAGCAGGACTGTAGCTACCCAGAGTAGTATCTCTTGAGCCATTTATAGATCAGGAGAGAAAGATAAACAGGGTTGTAGCTGCTACAAAGATGGAGTGACATGGGCCGTAGGGATCCTGCAGTGAATAGCTTCACTAGAGACCCCGTCTCCATGCCAAGCAGTAGTGTCACCTGCTACACAAGACATTCTCCATGGGGAATTCTCCGTCAGAAGGAAGATGAACCTCTGTGTAAAATGATGCATCAGTATTCCATAAAGTACTGAAATTCTATGTACAAATAAAAGGTCACATGCCATACAGACTCTTCCCTGGGAAGGGGAACACATACTTGTACAACTTCTAGGAATTTGCAGCAAGTTCACAAATAAAATATTTGGCTTCCATCCCAGAAGACACTACAAGAAACACTTGTGGTAAATCTCTATAAATCCAGCACTGATTTTTTTGTTTCTCCTCTATGACACAGACTCCCCTTCAGATACATGGTTGTCTATGGCACTGGAGATCCCTAGCGTGTCTAAGCAGATGATGTGGAGATGGTCTGGTAACACATTTACATTTGAACAATGTATTCGCTAAAAAATATTGGTCTGTGGATTTTCTTGAATACAAAGAGTAAAACCCTTTACATATTTCCAGAGACAAGAGACAGATATTGCAGATTTATAGCGCATTTCTTGACTGAAAATACATTGATATGATCAAAGAATGTAACCGCACACAGACTGGAAACAATAACAGAAAATGGAGACGATAGGAAGTACTGCAGAGGTGGTTAGAAAAGATGATGTCTGTGATAGATGGAGAATTATTAACAGGATGGAAAAGAAAACATGAGTTGATTACCTGATAACTCTGTTTCCAGGAATCTTCCAGGACAGCCATCGAGATATAGGCTAATTTACAATAATAGAACGTTTGTCTCACTTCTAGTACTTTTTAATTCTAAGAAGAAGTCAGGAAAATTCCTACACATCCCCAGAAAAGCACGCACACGCACACACACACACACACACACACACACACACACACCCAGTACTCATCAGAAAAACACACACACCCAGTACTCATCAGAAAAGCACACACACACACACCCAGTACTCATCAAAAAAGCACACACACACACACACGACATAAAAAACGCAAACTCACAAAAGCACACACACACACACACACAGTACTCATCAGAAAAGCACACACACACACAGTACTCATCAGAAAAGCACACACACACACGACAGTTCCATACACTTCCTCAGTGTGTTCACCAGAAAACCATAAACTAGAGATCCATACACATCCCCCAATGTACTCACCAGAAAAGCAGGCGCGCACACACACACACACACACACGATAATCCCATATACATCCTCAATGTACTCAACAGAAAAGTGCACACACGCAGATAGTTCAATACACATCCCCAGTGTACTCACCTGAAAGCACAAACACAGGATAGTTCCTTTTATATCCCCAATGGCCTCACAGGATAGTTCCATACACATCCCAGTGTGTGCACCAGAAAAGCACTCACAGGATAGCTTTATACACATCCCCAGCGTGCTCCACTTAAAGGCACACACAGGAAAATAACACACTGGGGACTGCACTACAACACCATATTACTCTTAGAAGACACATCATCCATGCTAAACCATCCCACTGTGACCAGGGAGAGCATTTAACAGGAAAAACTGCATTATAAACACCCCCCCCTCCCTTGTACTGAATACTTACAGCATCCCATTTGGCATTCATTTTCTCCTTTTCAAATTTGGCAAACTCTCTTCTGTCATGGATGATCATAAGAAGCTTCCATATTAGCAACAATGCCAGTCCAATAAGCACAATTCCAGCCACCACACCAGCAACAATGGGAACGATTTCCGGGCCACTGGGACACTCTAAAACAGGAAATCAGTAGATGAAACTTGGTCAGCTGCCCATTCTATGACAACGCTGGAAAAACCGTCTGCGAAGGATACATTACCTGGGTCTTTCACAACGTGCACATGAACCTCGGAGTTGGAATTTACAGAGTAGGTGTAGTAGAACCAACAATCGTCTACATCTTTCTCCTTGCAGTGTGTGAGGGCGTCTTCCTGTCCGGGCTGAGGTAACTTGTCACGGCTGTCCACTATAGTCAGGTTGAAAGGACATTGTTTTAGACAATCTTGTGTTTGCTTCTCTCCTTTATTGAATGCTCTGCACTGGACACATTCCCTGGTTGGAAAAAGAAAAAAGGCATTACCACAAAAGCAGTGTGATATAGGACAAGTTATAATAGCGGATTGGAAGAGAGAGTAGACACAATGTTTGGAATTCTAGTTAGTGGATAAAACATCAGCATTTGTCATGAGACGGTGTGCACCAAAGATCAGCGTGGGAATGAGAAGGGAGGAGCACCTGTATAACCCATTAAACTGGAGGAAGCCTTCCTCTCTTCACCCGTTATGCCATAGAGACATGGCCGTGCAGTTGCAAAGCCTAGGTTCCCCGCTCCAAGTAGGGCATTGTGAAGCCATAAACTAGAGAGGACATCAGGAGCTGCAAATGTACTGCTAGAGAAATGTGGTATCATTATAGACATGAGAGGAGATGAAAGTCAGGGAAACAGGTGATTGCAGGCAAGTGGAGTTGCCACTAAAAAGGCCCAGTTATGCACGGTAGCTACAAGAGCCCCATGCACGCTCTGTCACAAAATTTGCTTCAGAGATAAAAAGTCTAACAATAAATTTAGTTGAACCGCTATGTTCACACTTCATGTAAAGGGAGAAATGTGTTACTTCTTAATACTTACTTGTGTTCTGCACAAACGCCAACACAGGTCTGGCACATCTCACAAGTCTGACCCTGGAATTTGGGGTCTGTACATTTACACCTTCCACATTCGCATGATCCTCTTCCATTACATAGCTGACCATTCGATGCTATACACGTTGATTTATCTTCTGAGCAATCACAAGCACTACCAGAGAAATTGGGGAAACAATCGCACTCCCGGCATTTGCAGATTCCGTTACCTGTAATGAAAGATTGGTTTTAAGAAAGAATCAAGTTTAAACACCAGACACACAACGGCCATTATCACCACTTTGTAATTGGAAAATACCTTTCCATTTCAGTATTCAGCACCTTGGCGAATATTCAAGGTGCAGTTGAGTGGCCAAAAGGAAAAAGGGTCCTGAACTGGCAGTGCAGGATTCCCACTAGGGATGCACTGATACCAGGTTTTTTGGTATCAAGCGCAAGTACTGATATTTTTTTTGGGTACTCACCAATACAGAAACCACAAGTCCCAATAAGGAAGCTGGGTGGCATGTAATGACTTCCTGATTAGCCGGGAGGCCATCTCCATGCACCCTCCTCACCAGGTGATGAAGCATGGAGCTGGCTTTCTGGCCAATCAGTAAGTCGGGGGATGGGTAATGACATGCGGCCCGGCTTCCCGATTGGCCAGCTCCCTTATCACCAAGTGATAGCTGGTGTATCTGCGGTAGAAGGAGCACCTGGCAGGGAGCAGAGCGCCGGGCCATGCTGGGGCTCAGCCAAGTCCCCCAAGCAGCCGTCCTTCGTGTCATACTTGACTCCGGAGGCAAGTAAGCGGGGGGTGGCCTGACCTAGTGCCAGCATCGTCCTCCTTCCTCTGTCATAGTGCCACTGTGCCCGCCGTATCAGTGCATCCCTAGTTCCCACATGGGTGCACCGATATGTGCAAACAATCTCTGATGCTCTAGAATGATGGGGACATGAAGGTAAGCATCCTCCACGTCCACAGAAGCCAGTAAGTACTCTTGGTGAAGGGAAGCATGGACCGATTTGGTGGATTTAATGCAGAATTTCTGGACACAGAGCTTTGAGATCAAAGCAGGGGCATATCCCACCACTGAGTTTTGCTAAGGTAACAGGAGAGTAAAACCCCTGAAAGTATTCTGCCGCAGGAAATGGGACAATAACACCTTGATCTAGAAGGTTTAGCCGCTTTCACTAAAATCACATCAGGGTGCAGCTCTGCATGCAGATTTAAAATCATCTTACATTCATTAAACAAACTTGTTTTTCATTTTTTAACAAATAGAGTTAATCTTCCTGGTCCCCTTCTGGCACAAATGTAATGTGCCAAAGTGTTGCATCCTGGGAAGGTTATATCAGCAGAGCATTGCTTGGAAATCTCATCTGTAATCTAAGAGAGAGCTAGTAATCTGCCCTTAGTAAACATGGCCACTGTCAGAAGACTGGAGAAGAAAAGAGAAATAAGGAATGCAAAGAATAGAAAGCTGACAATTATCTGGAAGTATGTGTTTGTAGATTGTCATTACTAAACATTTCTAAAAGGTGTGTTTGTTGTTATTTTAAAGATATGGGTAAAGTTCCTCTATAAGAGGTCTCAGTGGAAATCTGCTAATCTGTGTGGTGACACAGGAAGGCTGAAGGTGAGAAATGGGAGAGGGTAGTGAAACTCCAGTTTGTATCCCCGAGATACCACCTCCAGCACCCAAGCATCTGAGATACAAGCTGTCCAAGCACCGGCAAAGGTTAACAAACTTACCCCCCCCTCCATGCTAAGGAAGGGTTGTATGAGGATCTGGCAGACTCGAGTGCCAGACCCTGCAGGCGGGCAATGAGCTAAGCCCGGGGAGATCTGAACAAGAAGGTTAAGTAGAAAACCAAAAAGTTATGTTTAACAGTTAGAGGGAGAGGACTTTTCAGTCTTCCTTAGGTTTCGTCCACTGAAGAAGATGGGTGTTCTTGCCAGCAGTAGCATGCTTGATAATCTCAGTAGCTGGTCTAAAGAGACCTTGTTCTTTTTAAGGCCATGTGAATTAAAAAGACTTCTTACACAAAGTTTCCATGGTCCAGAAATGTAGCCAAAGTGCCCTATTATTATGTACCAAAATCAGATCTTTAGGTCTGGCAATTCTACATAAATTCCTACGGTAAAAGCAAAGCGGTGTGGTCTGGCACCTTGAAGTTATAGCATAGTATAGTGTCTTGGGGTTTGCCAATGTTGAACTCACCTCCACAAATCAATCCATTGGATCGGTCACAATTGAAATTATCGCAGTCGCAGTATTTGCCAGAGTAGACCTCAATAGGATTTTCTCTCTTCTTACACACACACTGGCCACAGATACAGTCTCCATTGTTACTGCAGATCTCCGAGCTGTTCTCCTTTCTACACTGAGCATCCATGTCTTCACTGCTGACTTGCTCTGTGCTGCACTCGCACTGTTTTCCGATACGGCCATCATTGCATCTGAGAATGAAGGAATCCATTGTGAAAAACCAACATACACCAATAAGAAGAGGACTTCTTTATACCTTTATTACCTGAAGCCTGCACTGCCACCGTTTTATTTAATGCAAGTTTATCTTTGCATGTAAAAAAGTAACAGATGCATCATATGTGCTTCCATACGGATACATGCCTCATTTCCAAAGTATCCTTCCCCCTTTATAACTAAATAATGACATATTCCCAGGGACTTACAGGTTTATCAGCTGTAACGCTGGTGGTGCTTAAGGAGCTAAAAAAAACAACTGGATTTAGCAGGCATAAGAAAAAGATTGGTTCTGAAGGAGGCGTGGCCTCTGAAACACGTAAACTAGGAAGAACATAGCCTGCCTCGAGAGTATCACATTTTATTTTCCACACAGTGTCAGGTGCTGGCGCTTGTGTCATTTTTTTTTTAGCTAAGTAAAAGTATTTGGATATCAACTCCTGCATTGCTTCTCCCGCAAAGCTGCTGCATGGCATAGACTGAAAACGTGAAAATGTTGTCATACTGATCACTCGTGGCTATCAGCTAAACTGGGGAAAAAGGCAGCCTGATGGACACAGCAGAGGGAGGGAAGGAAGGATGGTTAACATCTTAAAAGTGAATTAAAATGTGTCGTCATACAACTATTACATTGCAGAAATGCTTTAAATCTTCCCAGTGCTAGTAAAATTGTGGAAGTGTGCAGCTGCTGCACAAAATGTCTCCCTCGGCTGTCAGCAAGCAGTAAGGGTACATCAGGGAAACCACACAATCTATTTAAAAGCAGAGAATTTAGGCTGCTATGGAAACCTGAAAACAAGGAAAAAAAAAAAAAAAGTACCAAGAAGTGAAGACAAGCTGATGAATATTTAAATTCGTTGTGATCATCCCCTCTCAGGGTTAGTTCACACCAAATGCAGTGTGTCCTGGGTCGATTCTGGCGAGAACGCACTGCATCGCATTGCGGCCGGCTCCCTTTTGTTGCGAGGCAAGAGGGGACGTGGCGGGCCATTGAAGTGAATGGCACTGTAGCCACGCCCTCTGGCCGCAATGCGATTGAATGGATCTGTAACAGTGTCTGTCAGTGCTCAGGAGGGCTTAATTGACTGTATGGCCTGTGCTTCCATATACATAACAGCCGGCCAAGTCCTCTGATCACAAGCACTTTGCATATACTGCTTTTATATTGTCTGCAGTTTGTCATACTTGATTGGCCGTAGGAATCACAGTTCTATATCAATGCTGGAACCCATTTTGTTCAATATATCCAAATGTTTTCACATAGTTAGGTTGCTTGTAGCGCTGCTTATAAACTGTATCAGAATGATTGTATGGACTTTGTTGCCATTTCTACTAATACCAGATGAACTGAAACAAACTGAAATCCCTTTATGATATATCATGTGGTTTAGGCATTCTACAAGCAATAGTTCTGTAGCAGTTCCTACAATTTTGAGAGATGGACATTAAATGGTGCGGCTGAACAGATCAAGAACCACTTTTGTGTTCCAAATGAAATATTGTAAATACAGGTACTACAGCAGATTCACGATGCTCATGAACTGCCTAATCTGACACGCTGCCTTCGCGGGCAGTGAGTCATGTAATTTTCTACTCGGCACGTCAGCTTGCGAGAGCTCGCGTAGCTGAGCGTGCAGAGATTAAAAATGTTATCTTTAGCCCAATCAGCTCGCGAGTATAAACCCGCGTGTCAGCATGCGACGTCTGGCTGGTTGTTACGCACGAGCCGATTGGCTGAAGGTGCAATCAATCATCTGCCTGCAGTCAAAGCTCTGTGCCGGACAGCTTTGCGTGCAGTGTGTCACAGGCTTAATGGTGCCTTCACCCCTGTGCACCTTACCCCATAGACCAGTAACCATATACAGTATTATTAGTGTCTCGATCAAAGTTTCAGCATGTATATAAAGAAAGATTGGCCGTGACATGTACCTGCAGGCTCCACATTCAAATGTTCCATTCCCAAAGTGACATTCAGGGCTATCAGGGGTTCCAGACTGCTGACAATCACATTCACAGATAAATTTCAGAAGAATCTCGACTTCCTCCGTAAATCCCAACGGCTTAATTTTAATGGACTCGGTTGGTTCCTTTTTGGGGCACTTGTGAGCAGTTACGCTGACCTCAAATTCAACCTAAAATAAAAAAAAAAGTATGTAGTATGTATATATATATATATTACACACACACACATATACATACACATATACATACACATACACATACAATCCGGCTGATGATAAACAATACAAAACTATCCAAACACAGCAAGCGATGTAAATTCTTTAGTGTAAAACCATTTTATAGAAGATAATGTTATCTGGCACCCAGCTCCCTCTAACCAACAGGAAACATTTTAAGCAACAAAAGCCACTGCTTACAGCATTGTATGGACAGTAAAAGCAAACACTGACTGATGATCTTATCTCTCTGCTCTTTCCTCCTGTCAGCTTGGTCCTTGTTAGCACATGAGCATTGCAGCACAACTGACTGGCTCATTTTACTGCTTTTGCCATCCCCTAATCAGAGAAAAATCAGGTCTATTGGCCTACCAAACAGGGTTGTACTGTGCGGCACAGCTGTGTAAAGACCGAATGGACTGAAATACCAATCCATGTGCAGGTAAAACAGCTCCTATAGTATGTCCAGATTCAAGAAAGTGAAGTGCATGCAGCAAGTAATCTACAAAAACGTACCTGATCTCCCAGAGAGATATTGGAGCATTTCCTTCCATTCTCTCCTGTCCCAATCACTCCGTTCTTACAGAATGACTTATAATTGATGGTTACACCGTCTGGCAATTTGCTGTTTTCTAGGATAAGTTCTGAAGACAGTGACTAGAAAAGAAAAAACAAAGCTTAATTTACATACGAAGTACCACAAACCTTTGAAAACAGGAAGCAGACAGGAGCCGAGATGGCTATCAGATCAGAGTGTCGCATGTGCAGACTTACATTGTAGGAATCGATGATCAGCTTAATGACATTACTGGAATTAGAAGACAGAGTGCCCACAGCAGATTTTGGGATCAGGTTTTTCAGTTCCTAGAAATTAAGACTTTAATTACAATTTATAAAACAGACCTATAGTAGTGGGGTGAATGTCTAGGATGCTCAAACCTGGACGACAACCCACAAACTCGACATACCTTGTAAACCGCCTGAAATTCCTCAGTAACAGCGAAGATGGTTTGAATGTTGTTTTCACTCAGCTTCTGGACCAAATGAGCGATTGATGGGTAGTCCTGAGAATGTAAACATGAACCCGTATTAATGCATCTTGTATTCTGGTAACTATATGGGGGGAATACCTGGAACAGGATTCAGTATAGGAATTCCTTTTTTCTCCTCTACATTTACTTACAGGCCAAGCTGCCCAGCAAAAGTCAGATACAGGGGTTGTGACAAACCAAAGAACACAGCTGGGGCTGCTTACAATTGTCACATATGGTTATATGGTTGTTCACAGGGTTTCACTTTTTTTTTTTAAAGAAAAACAGTTACTGCAACTGCTAAAAATAAATAAAAAAAAGGATTAAATGTTGGAATAAGGAAACGATATGTCCATCTAAGATTACTCTGTTCAAATGGTGACAAGGCTGCTATACAATTTCGCTGCAGAATAGTAGAGCTGCAACAAGTAAATCGACTAATCCGATTATAATGGAAAACGTTGTCAACGTTTTCCATCATCGATTAGTTGAAGTTCGATTAGTTTGTCCTGCGTGCGGCTTGCCGCTTCTCCTCACCGCCTGCAAGGGGCGAGCATAACTTTTTTTTTTTAGCACCTAGACACAAACCAGCAGTTAACCCTTGCAGTACGACCCACACTGCAAGGGTTAACAAAATGTTCCCTGGAGTGCTTCTTTAAGGCACCCATGGACAAGGAGATGAATATTGATTTTGGTAGGATCGGGAATCTCTCAGGTCTATGCCGTTCTGGAGATGCTGCAACTCAACTGTTTTCGGAGGACCTACTATTTGGACACGCTATAGATTTGGTCAGCTTTGTTCACCCAGAAATATAATGAATGTGAGGTCTGTGGAGGAGGAAATGAGGACAGCAGTCAGCTATTTCTAAACACCAGTGATGTATGATCCTCATATGGTGGACAGCAAGATTACACCCACACATTTTACCCACAATAACAGGTCTATGGCCAGCTTCTCACACACATAACCTTCCAGACCAGAATCCTGAACAAACAAGGTGCAGTCATAGTACAGACATTCCTCGGTTACCGACTTACCTGCTTTGCGACCACTCGCACTTACGACGGACTGCCGATCGACCTCCGACCTTTCGCGTCAGCGCGACGTGTCGCCGGCGGAAGTGATGTCCTCCAATCTTCACTGCGGGTCCGGGTAAGTGTTTTCATTGCCCGATGTACAGTACACTGTTCGGTACTGTACATCTGCAACGCTGTACTGTACTAATGCATTACAGTACTGTATAGAGTTCCTCAATTAACGACCAATTCGTTTAACGACCTGGTCGTAGGAACGGAACTCGGTCGTTAAGTGAGGGATATGTGTATTCCTTGATGAAAATCTTCATAAATGGGGAAAAAGGAAAATGTTGCACTCAGGAGTTGTTCACAGAAAAGTAACGCTGGTGTTCCGCATGGACTGTGAAGCTTTTTTACTTTGAAATATGAAGCGCTTCTGCGTCTTGGGCTGTGCTATTGGTTTAATTCACGTTCAGCCTAATTACCAACAATGATATCTTGAGACAAGGGTGGGCAACCTCAGCACTCCAGCTGTTGAACTACAGATCCCATGATGCATAGCAAGCCTCTGACAGCAACAGGCATGAGACAGAGGATTCAGGGGATTTGTAGTCTCCCCATAGCTGGAGTGCCAAGGTTGCCTAACCCTGTCTTAAGATAGAGTAATACCAACTATACACAATTTTCCCAAGACTTGTAATTTAACGTTTAAGCTGACCATTCAATTTTAGATGATTCAGAGCCATCGGTTGAAATTCTAACAATGGTTGGCTCAATGACAAATTGTCGAAGGAGCCACCTGAAAATATTGCAGCCATTCAGCTGAAGTGACTGTTCAGATAGTCTGACAATGGTGGGGTGCGGCAGGCACAATAAATATACCAATGGGGGAGATTTGTCCATCTGCACTCTTTAGCATGAATAGAGGAATAAGATTTATTTTGTCCAGTCCGCAGGCTGAACCAGCTATGACCAGCTTTACAACGGAAAGATACAACTTATCAAAAGAGAGGAAAAAATGATCCAAAAAAAGGACAAAGAAACCTGCAGACTTACATAATAATGGCTCATTGTGTACATATTGTCCTGCATGTGACATTTCCCATCGTTTGGCAGAACGATTCCTCCTAATTTGCCATCGCCAGCAAAATGGAATCCAGCATCAGTAGAAAACACCAACAAACGTGTGACATTCCTCCAGCCAATGTGATCCTAAAATAAAAAAAAAAACACTACAACGTAAAGAACATGGCAGAGAAATGCAACACTTTAACAAATGCTTAGAGACACGGAGTCATAACATTCTGCTTGTGTGCCCATGTAGTGCCAGCAAATATGATTACCACTGCCCCCCTCTCATATATTATCGTCTTTATGGAGTGTTGTCTAAAATCAGTATACACAACACAAACTAAATGGGGATCGCAATAGTAAAAGTTGTCAACTTCTTTCTAGAGTTTTTGTTTCTCGCTCTAAAGATCCCCACAAATGTCAGTTACACTTTATGCATATCTAAACCCAAAAAATAAAATTGCAGCTTACCAAGTCCAAAGATGTGGTGGCTGCATCCCTTTTCATTTTACCTGGTGAACCTGACAGTAACACATCCTGTCCTAGGGTGACAACACTCATACTGTATCTATGGGAGTCATCTTAGGACAGGAAGTGTGCTAGGACTACAACATCTCCATAACATGGTGGGTGACCTCTAGCTCACATAGGTCAACACAGCAGGGAGCACATCAACTTGATAACCCCCTGTATTTCTGGCAACAGTAGAGGTGCAACAAAATGAAACATTTCAGAACCAAAAAAAAAAATGGCCAGGCCGAAACCGAAAAAAAATCTTTATTTTAACTTTCTAAAATTTTTTAAAATATTTTATTTTTATGAACTTAATATTTACTTTACGTTTTAGGGGCTCCAGCTAAATATTAGGGGTTTTAGACAGACCACTATTTCCCATTTAAAATAGAAAAAGAGATTGAGGACACAAGAGTCCACAATCTCTTTTTCTGCTGCCCCAGTTATCAATGAACAGGAATCCTCTGAGTGTTCCTGTTCATTCATAACATGAGAACATAGTGAGGGGAATTTATCAAAACAGGAGCAGACAAAATCTGGAGCAGCTGTGCACAGCAACCAATCAGCTTCTCTCTTTCATTTTCAAATCTTAACTGTACAAACTGAAGAGAGAAGCTGATTGGTTGCCATAGGCAACTACTTCAGTTTCTGTCTGCTCCAGTTTTGATACATTCCCCTCAGTGTGTTTACTATAAACCACAATCATGAATGAACAGGAAGTGATGTAGATCACTTCCCATTTCATAATTGAGGATATAGTAAACATACCATGTCCTCAAATATTTACACTCAGCAATCACTGAGTGTTTGTACCTTGCTCTGCTTCCTGACACGCTGTCACAGGAGGCTGCGCGATCAGCGCAGGAGGAGAGCTCAGTCTCCTGTGACAGCGCTGGCTGTCTCCGCCCATACACTGCTCTGCTGATCTGTGATAGGAGGCTGAGCGCTGAGGGGAGGAGAGACCACAGCCGCTCACAGTGCTCTCCTCCAGCAGCGATCGGCTGCCTGTGACACAGAGCAGGGCCCAGCGGGGAGGCGAGAAAGAACGGATGCACTGCTGTGCATGAGCCACCGATATATCGATGCATCCCTAATATTTCTTGTATTCATCAACCAGATAAAAAAAAAAATAAAAACAACACTTTGTGGCATATTTATAAGACCAAAAGGGAGCAAACGGGAGGAAAAGTTCATTGTTGGGGTTTACATACACTTTTCTTCTGTACTTACACCACACACAGCTACTTGCATAATTGCATCAAATCCACCTTCCGGGGAATCCAGATTACCAGAGATCTGCTGCTTGCCTACCAGATCATTAAAAAGCGATCCCTCACTCGTGAGGCTGAGTACATTCTTGTAACTGAATGGGCTGGTACAATTCTGATCGGAGGTGCACGGGTTGATGAGTTTAGCAGGAGTAGTACTAATATACGGCATAACCGTCTTCTCTACGAAAGACCCGAAACCTGAAACACAGCGGAAGTACTTTCTATAAAAGTCCAAATACACAAAGAGCAACTTACAACAAACAGAACTATTCATGAGAATGCGGAACTCTTCTCACATACAAAGCATGACTGTTATAAATTGTGAATGTCAAAACATTGCAGTCCCTTTCCTCTGTACAGTAACACAAGTGTACTGTATACCGATTGTGTCAAATAGCCCTAAGGGCCTGTTCACACTTGTCTCCTCTCCTGCGATAAGCAAAATGCAATTTAAATACCAGTTCCCATTCACTGCTATGTGACTAGATCAAAAATCTGCATGGCTACTTCTTAAAATGTAGGACATGCTGCATTTTTGTGCACTTACACATATTGGGCAAGCCCATTTAATGAATGGCACAAATGCACAGTTGCGTTTTTAACAGTTCTCGCACCTTGAAAAATCCATATTCTGACCTTTTATATATGACTTTGCATAATGAATACAAAAATGCATAAAACACATACAACATGTACAGTATAAATGTGCAAAACAGCACATAAATGCATGAATGAAAAAGCCAGGTTGCTGAATAAGGACAATTGTGAAAAGGCCCCAATTGTAAACCTCACTTATTCCCATTGTTATGAGCTTAATACATCAATCACAAGTAAGACTCTCGCCATGCGCAGCAATTACCGCAACCTTTCTATAACATTTAAGATATTCCCTGGTACACCGACACTGCTGTGCCTTCTGCCGTTTCATTCTACGCCATCCTCCCGTTTACACCTAGGCGTGACGCGACAAAACTCTCAACACAAGAAATCCCGTTCATTTCAATGGCCACTGTTCACCCCCGAACTGTCACAAGCTGTAAAACGGCGGGAAAAAAAGTACATGCGTTTTTTGGCAGATTACAGCGCGCTTGGCTGCTTAGACTTCAATTAAAACGGGCAATATGAGCATTTTGCACATGTCTGTGCGTGTTAATGCGCAAATTAATCGCAATGTATTTAAATTTGCTCAATAAAACATGTATCTGCGTGTATGCGCATCTAACACTTGCAAAAAAAATGTGCAAACGTGCAAAACACGCTAGACGAGACGCTAAACAGAACGCGTGCTAATATGCACGAAAATGCTGATGCCTAGGTGTGACAGAGCCCTAGAGTTTGTAAACGGAGATAGCGTGGACTGAAACCAAATAATCTTAGTTTATTACTATCAGCACTGTGGACAAACAGATGCAGTTTAAATCACTTCACGGTGTCTACCTCCAAAAATGGGTCTCCAGGCCATGCAGGATGTCCATGTTGAGCTTGCAGATCTTTTCCGCATGTTTTGGATGTGTCCTCACATCTGGTCTACAAGCTACACCTTTCTTAGGATACAAATTGGACTTTACAGCACCATATGCTTCTACGCCAGCAAAAGTTTCATAATCTACTCAAGCCAAGTATGCCTGGTAAATGTACAAGGATCTGGAGCCCATGCTTCGTGTATAGGAAGAACAAGGTTTTCAGTTTATTTTACATTTTCATAAATGTGTTTAATTGTGGGGTTTCTTGATTCCTACTTATGTCGTATCAATCTGCGTTTAATGATTGCATTTACACATATGTAAATCCAAGGGTACCTATTCTTATATTCTTAAAAGTTAATCACTAGTGTTCCAAGTGTACCTGTAAGCCATTTTAACGGATATCAAACATAGCACCACCAACTCTGGAGCCTGGAAACGTGAAGCATTCTATAGTGTAGTTATCGACTTCAGCTAGGATTCTACCAAATGGTCCCCCACCCTCCAGCACCTTGTTAAAAAAAAGCCACCAATTTTAGTGATGAGTAAAGTGAGGACTGGGCAGGGATATGTGTCAACACCATGGGTCTCAGGGACCACAAAGCATGACTGACACACACACACACACGTAGCTCAGTATGGCCAAATGTTTATTAAAAGAAAATTACAAAAAACAAAACAAAAATGTGTGTGTAAATTAATACAATTCAAATTCCACATCTACTTTGAGATAGAGAAGAGTTAGCTTTCATCTCCTCTATAACTCTTACCTATCCTGAAATCTGTAGTAATTTGTTCCATTTCCCTCATAAGTGCAGTGCCCAGGCTTTTCACATTCTCCAAATCATCTTTCATGGAATATGACAAGTCCATAAGATAGTACAAGTCAATCGGATAATCTTCTGCCCTTCTGAATGTTAAATTAAATGTCTGGGGCTCTCCTGTATGAAAAGGAAACATAAATTAGAGAATGCACGTGACACAGCGTATACAGAGACCTGCTATGCTCACAAAGTATGTCCGCACCTGATCTTAGTTCAAATCTTAACTGCTGGGGTCTGATCTGTGTAATTTTTGAAGCATCCATTCGCTCTCCTTTGGCCTTATTTGTTATAGGATTGTCTTTTAGCTTTTCTTTGCTTCCTCTAGGATTCTGAATAGTTTCCTCTGGACAGCCCTTACTTTTCAGAGCAGCAAGGTCATCACAACGTGCAGATGTGGGCTCACCTTCTTGCAAAAAATCCTAAAATAAGGAATAAATATTAAGATGCCTGAAAAAGTAAATATCCAATCAATGGCATAAAATGGACAGTAATGGTTTGTAACTTTTTGGGAGGTTTAACCCTTTGGCTAACTCCAACGAAAGGATTATATCAGCGGCAGCACCAACAAGGAAATAGACTCACGCCTGGTTTGTTTACATTGTACTGTTGGCTTTCTTGTAAAAGTGATTTTGGATGCTGTGAAGCCACCAGATATGGTCCACAAACTGTAATTTTCTACATTACAGCACAACAAATATATAAAACCCACAAGTTTAAAGCCAGCAGCCCAGCTTCCCCCCTCCCAACATGCACTGGGCACACTGAACAGTATATGCACTACCTCCTATGCCCCCAAAATGTACACTTTATCTACATTCCTACTAGTCATCTCTTATACACAATCCAAGATATTTACAGTATTTGTTTCACCATGATCCCCAATGTGCCCAAAATGGCTACACGTTTACCAGATATTACATTACAAATCTTTTGGCATATATAAAGCTGATGCAAAAACGGTTCACCTCCTGAAGAAATGCTGGTTTCTGTAACAAATCAACACAATCTAGAGGAGGTATTCCTTCATGGGAAATCATAAATAAAATACTTGTTCGCTACAGAAAAAAAAAATTATATTCCATGTGGAAACACATATCCTACAAGAAATATCTAGCTGCACAATTACAAATTCCCTTTGAATACCTCAAAAGTTCATCATGCCAACTTACCACTTTTGTGCACCACCCACAGTTTGGTCCGGCTTGTATACATTCTCCACATGATTTGGCATTTGCTTTTAAACACTCAGTTCCACCTAAAAAAAAAAACAACAATTATATATATGTAAGTTACTTGCACATTATCAGCTCAACCAAAAAGATTATGAACAGTCTGAAGCGCTCCCATGCCAGTTAAAGGCAAGAGCTTTCCAAACCATGAATTCTATTTTTTGAAATTAAAATCTGCAGCATCTAAATTCCTCCCTGAAATCGATAACTGCGGCATCATCTAAGTGTGCTATTCAATAAAAATGATTTAATGTAGGCACAAGAGTGACTAGGGTTTTCTGGTAAAAGAAACATTTACCTGACATCAGAGCATTCCAAGGAAGGCAAGGCGAAGAGCCAAAATGTAGCTCCTCATATCATCTCTGAATTGGTGCTGACACTGTCCTTCCTTCTGGAGGGGGGCTACTTTTGTTCCCCATGGTCCCTGTGTGTGTTGTAAAGTGGTCACCGCTCCAAGCTCACTCCCGGGACAGACTACAATCTCACGTTTCGTTTACCAATTTTTATTGAGATTGTAGTCCATCACAGGAGCGATCTTAGAGCGGTGACCACTTCATAACACTCACAGGGACCATTGGGAACAAAAGTAGCCCCCCCTCCAGAAGGAAGGACAGTGTCAGCACCAATTCAGAGATGATTTGAGAATCTACAGCCGAGTGATACACAAATAAGATACATTTCTGTTAATAGTTAAGGTACTTGATTGTATTTTTAAGATTTAACTATGGAGTTTAGCGTCACTTTAAGAAAAGGCTACAAAAAATAAAGTCAGACTTACTTTGCTGAGCACTGCAGTATAAAAATGAACAAAGACACAAGGCCACGAAGATTAGTGTATGTGCCATCTGTAAAGAAACAAAATGCTCTCATTAGTTGTGTAGGGAGAATTGATGAACCCTGTTGAATCATATCTTCACATTCCAGTTTGATCTTATGCTTAATGAAACCTAATGAAATGCATCTCATAAAGAAGATTGTTTAGTAAATATGGTATAAGATAAGGCACACTATCAGAAGTAAATGATCTGACAAGTTAAAGATATTCCACGATACAATCACATTCTATATGTATATTATTTTATACACATATTGAATACAGTTAGAGACCTTAGAACATCTAACATACACTTAAAAACATGTTTTTCACATTTTGTGAGCAGTAATATTGCAAGACATTTTCATATGGTAGGGTGTTCGCTGTCATCTTAAAACCATTGGAGAAATTGCCATTCTAGGCGTTTATCTAAACACAGACAGTTGCTATGTATACGTGAGGAACATGTCTTAAGTAATGCTGATCCAGGATTGGTTGATTTTGGAATTTTGTTAAACTGACCAATGATGTGAGCTTAATCTTTATCTTGATGTATGAACCTTTATAAGCTGTATCAACCAGAGTGGGGTTGGAATTGGCCTGACAGACTAAAGCTGGCCATAGACGTACAGCGTGTCGATCAATGAGTCCCCGCTGTTTACATACAGCAGCTGCTGCCACGTGTCAGACTACACGACCAGAGCGGGCAGCTCTTGGCTGCCCGCTCTGATCAATCGATTTTTCAACCAGTTCCTTCAATTGGCTGATCGAGCGATGCCAATCGAAAGGATGTCGACAGCGACACACACTGTGAATTTTGGCAGTTTTTTGAGAAATTCGAACAGTGTATGTGCACCCCAAGAGGCCCTTCCCACACGCGTGTGTCAAATAAACCCTTTTATCTGATTTGGAGCTGCTCACAGACCGTTGCTGCTTTGCTCCTAAAATTCTCGTAATCATAGTAGCTGGAATTACTTGAGGCCCCATTCCCACTAAGCGACTTATCGCGCATTTTTGCATCGCGATCTTGCGAGTAGTTGCCAGCCAAAGCTATTCAATGGAGCTGTCTTAGCTCCATGTCGCAGGACCCTTTTTTCGGCGGATTTTGCGCAATTTTTCTAATAGAGCCCGGCGGTGAAGGCCGCGCTACCGTCGCTGGTATGTCGCCCCAAAAGTCACGCTATCCCGGCCGTGCGGATCCGCTGCAAAAGGTATGTCGCTTAGTGTGAATGGGGACTAAGGGTCACAAGTCATCCCTTACACAACAGAGCTAGGGGTACATTTTGAAACCCCCTGATTTAATTACTAGTAAGAAAGATAGGAAGGGTTCCATGGCTCCTCAGGATCTTCTGCTAGACCCCACATTGTACACAAACACATCAAATATTTTTTTTTAAATAACAATCTCCACAAGTAATGCATTGTGGAGATGCAGCTGAAAATTAGGCAAAACATTTTTGGGGATTTTTGTTTTGTCCAACAGGACTAACATAATACATCATCATAACAATGCAGCAATTCATAGCCATGTAACCTCAGGTGACCAGTGGGAAACGTCAACTGGCTGGGAAGCAGAGACACAGCGTGTACAATCCCTGGGCTGCCAGACAGGCAAGTATATCCATGCTTCTCTTACCTGTCAGCTATTCTGTAAAAGTGACCCTCTGGTGACAGGGTCACGAAGTTTATTTCTTTTTTTTTTTTTTACCAGCTGGCCAGCTTTTGAATCTTTTCAGCAAGGCAACAGGGTCCCTTTAACACAAGTGTCTCTATAATACGTCCCCAGAGATGAGTGACACTTTACAGAACTCCGGGCAAAATTTTTATTGACCCTTAGTCCTGGTTCACTGAGTGTTTTGTCACAATAAGCAAAATGCCTGTTGCTGGAAAAAGTACAGGAGCTGTTTTTTGGCATATTACAGCTGGTTTTGGCCCCATAGGAGCAATAGGAAATGCTTGAAAACGTGCGTTTTCAACATCAATGACCTACAATCGGCTCACAAAAAATAGGATTTTGGTACTCACCGTAAAATCCTTTTCTCTCCGTTCATTGAAGGACACAGGGAACAGATCGGAGATCATGTACTGTAGGGTAATATCGCCACCTGCAGGAGAAGGACGCTAGGCACAAAAAAACTAAAGACCAATTACAGCCTAGGGGCGGCCCCTGCTGGTGGCCAAACCCCCCACCTACTGAGAAGTCTCCAGTTTAGTAACAAGCAGTAAAGGAGTACACACCCACATAGAGGGGCGAGCGTTTTGACATATGTGCATAAAAACGTGCAAAAAACCCCCTCAAAAAAACACTAACGCTGAGGTGTGAACCAGGCCTTAGGGTGGGGCTACCCCTGCACGGCAAGGAATACTGTACAACTTTAGGGCTGCAACAACTAATAGACATAATCGATTATAATCGATTATTGAAAAAGTTGTCAACTTTTTCAATAATCGATTAATCGGCTTCCGATCAGTTGGCCCTGTTCACAGCTCCACACGCTGTGCGCCGCACCTCCTCCCCACCTCACGCTCGCCGCTGCCAGACCCGCTCGCATCCACGCTCCACACGCCGCACCTCCTCCCCGCCTCACATTTCCTGCCCATCCACGATCGGCAAGGCACGCGGGGAGATGTAGTAAGGAGGAGCAGGGGTGGGGGGATGACAGCCGCTGATAGACAGGTCCGATCTCAGAAGCAAGTTGCTGGAAGACTGCTCAGGTAAGCCTGCACTTTCCCCCACATGGTGCTCTATAATGTATTGCTGGGATTTGTATTTCTCTATAGCTGATGGTACATTGTACTGTACATTATACATAGGAATACAAATACCAGCAATGCATTATACACTGTATGTATAATGTATTGCTGGGATTTGTTGTACTCCTCTATAGCTGGTGATATTCTGCATTGCGCTGTATAGAGGACTACAAGTCCCAGCAATAATACATTATACAGCGCAATGCGGAATACCACCAGCTATAGAGGAATACAACAAATCCCAGCAATAGTACATTATAAAGTGGTACAATGCTAAATACCACCAGCTATAGAGGACTACAAAACCCAGCAATAGTACATTATACAGCGCAATGCAGAATGCCGCCAGCTATTATGTACTATTGCTGGGATTTGTTGTATTCCTCTATAGCTGGCGGTGTTCTGCATTGCGCTGTATAATGTGCTTTTGCTGGGTGTTGTATTCCTCTATAGCCGGTGCCATTCTGCATTCATTGCTGTATAATTTTATACTTTCAATTTCACTATATTGCACACCACACTATCTATTTTTTCTTTTTTACTTCCACCGCTCCAAGCTTGCTCCTGTGATGGACTACAACCTCAATACAAACTAGTAGTCCTATCACTGGAGCCATTTTTTAAACTTTATTTTATAGTTTATCCGATTAATCGAACTTAATAATCGGCTAACTAATCGATTTTGAAAATAATCGTTAGCTGCAGCTCTATATAACTTATTTTGCTCCCTAAACCAAAACAAGCAAAGTTATACTCACTAGAATCTCAGAGCCGGGCGGCTATGACATTGCTCCCTCCAACCTGTCTCCTCCACTGCTGCAGTGACAGTATGTCCCTCGGTGTCCTCAAACTGGGTATAGAATGTGACAATTCAGGGACCCTAGTCTGCTGGAGGGGGAGCGAGGCTGGAAGGAGCAGTCCAAGAGCAAGCTGACTCGGAGGATCAGGCGAGTATAACTTTTATTTTCCTCCCTAGAACAAAATGAGCACTTAACTCTTGCAGTGCAGGGATAGCCCCACTGCAAAGGTTAATAAAAACGGCGTCCTGAGTTCTTTACCAAATCACTATTTTTTTGTTCAAAAATATATTTTATTGAATAGTTGAAGTCTGACATCACCGCATTTTTCTAAATATGTAATAATGCATTGCACATTTTACACGTTTGTTGCAGCAACATGACAATTGTTGATTAGCAGTTCCCCATTTTTGGTCATCTTAAAACTCGATGTGTTACAGACCCATGCCAGCCATATAAATAAGCTCTGAAAAATCCAGCGCTCGCTGAGTAAGGCGGCCTGGAACACAAGCAATGTATCCTGAGGAGAGGAAGCCGGAGCCCGGATTCCTCAACTTCAATGTTTCCATATATGGGCCGCCTTCTCCTCTATAACAAATACTCCTCCGGGCCGCCTCCTGCTTGTCAGTGTACACCGACTCTATTAGACTGAGCTATTCCTCTAATGTCACCAGATTGTGCAACAACAACACAAGAACTGTTCACAACAAAAGAAACTGGCCAGGACACGATTAGGAAGACACGGGTTAGAGCAGCCAAATCATGAAATGTATTTCCTTATGTTAAGTTACTTATCATGAACCTTACAAACCACAAAACAAACAAAACTGATGAGAAGAAATATTCTATCTCAGTTGCCGCATCTGCCTATTCTATGTGCCCCCCAACATCCATATTGTGGGGGGATGACGTCACCCTCCTGCCAAAAAGATCTCAGGGAGTGCCGAGGAGGCCAAAGCTTCTGAGAAGTCATTGCAGCGCAGGTTAGGATTTGAGCTTCTCCACATTCTACAAGATCTGGCTGGAAGGAGGACGTTGTCACCCAGCCCCCACCCCCGCACTATGGAAGTCAGGGGAGTATATTGTCCAGCTAACACTGCACGGGTACTTTTATTCAGCAGTTCAGAGGAAAGGGGAACAACTTGAATAAGTGGACCTTACAACTGAGGTGGAATTTCCGCTTTAACATTTGGTCTATTTCTAGACATTTCAATTCTGTTTGACGTTTGTAAGTTTCACTATTAATAAGAAAAGTAAAACAAACTACATTCCAGGCCTTGACCAGTGTAACCAGTGTCTTACGGACCGCTTCCTGGCTTGTTTCTTTCATTTTGAACAGTTTAACCCCTTCACGTCCCATGATGGGACAATCCTGTCATTAAGTCTGAAGGGGTTAAGCAGACTCCCGACAGCTTATAGCCGATGGGAGTCTGTTCAGTTTTGTGGAGCTGGTGGCCGGCATTTACAGTAGAAGAGATTC